TCCTCCAGGCCCTTACTTATGCACTTATTGGCATGCCTATATAAGTCCTTTACTATCTGATATTGGTTTTGTAGCCGGCAAATTTACGCTACATTCTCTAGTTGGCCGTCTGTAGTAACGCGCTCCATCTTGTCCGCCATTTTTCCTCACGTGATCCTGGGCGTGTTACGTCACGGCAGCTCGCCACGCCAGCCACGGCTGGGATGGTATGATCATCGCTTATATAGACAGGAGGTATACCTTGAGGTACGGAGGTACTACCTTACACCTATAACAAGCGATGGATCATGCCCGTGATTCTATGCTTATAAGCTATAATCGTGGTCGTAACGGGTGGTTTATGACGGTTGTAAGAAGAGAGAAATACACTTATAGCGCGTTGTTCCTTTTACCAAACTGTTTCTACGTAGTACATACCTAGCATTTGTAACAAAAATTATGTCTCGATCTTCATATAAAGTACATAAGTTGGCAAAGTAAAATGTCGAGTTTCTGATTTTAACCCTGTGCACTCTCGGTGTTCTTAAGTTCTTCGTTCCTTTTTTAGACAAAGCCCGCAGTTTTAGCGTAATAATAAAGTTTCCACACAGCCAAAGAACAAGTGTAAAACCAGCCTAAACTTTAGCCACATTGCCAGGTTACCGCACTAATGGGATTTGCAACAACATTTATTTCAATAGAGTCCGTCAGTCCTCATTATTCTGTTATGGTAACTGAAAAATTGGCGCTTTGTAAACTTTTACTTGCCTCTTGTTGACGCTAAGAGGGTACAAGTTTGTTAATTTTATTCACATTTTTCGAGGATTGGGCAAAAAGTTATAGAACTTATCTCAGCCCTCTCCTCACACATAAAAGGAAACAATAAAACAAAGTAATAACAATAATGATAATAATAATAATAATAAGAAGAAGAAATGACAAAGGTACATAAGTTGTGGACTAAAGAGTTGTGGAAAAATATAGGATTTACGTAGTTACCATTCATGTAGACCTTTGGTGTGCCTGTTGTTAAAAAACTTTTCAAAAGATTTCTTTTGACAAAAGGTTTTCTAATTTACTGGCTTATTGACAATAGTGATTGTGTTATAGAGTTGTTTTTGTTATGTTTCCTGTTATGTTTGTTGACAACACGTTAAGTTACTTACGGTTCCTTAATTGAGATATAAACCATAAATTTACCTGTCTCACGGCCATTCATTACATGTTGCAAACCATCAGTGTTTGAGCTGACGCCACGTCTGGACGCTACTACAGCGGTGAGTGGAAACCTTAACTTGTTACATACTGGTTTATTTTAGCTGTTTATGATGGTTGTAAGATGAGAAAAGCATTTCTAGTGCATTGTTTCTTCTTTTACCAACCTGTTCGCACTATAGTACATACCTAACATTTCGTAACATATTATTATGTCTCGATTCCTCATATAAGTACTTCAATTTAGCAAGGTCTCGGTACATACAGGTAAACATGCCTGTCCTTGGTGCTAAGCACTTTCTACATACAGGTGAACATGCCTGTCCTTGGTGCTAAGCACTATCTACATACAGGTGAACATGCCTGTCCTTGGTGCTGAACACCATCCACATACAGTTGAACATGCCTGTCCTTCCATGTCCTAACCCGAACCCTAACCCAAACCATAACCCAAGATTCAGCAGGATGAATGGGAATGAACCTGAAATTAATTGTTTTGCTACGGAGGCTCTATCAGTTATCAGAGACACAAAGATGACAAACACATTTTTGTGGTACCAAGACTGCAGGTCTATTCAAAAGCTTTAAAAGCAAAATGCACATACACAATTGTACGTAACTAAGAAACTACTTCTCGATGTTAGTTAATGATGGTAGCTATAATTTTTCTTTACGTAGAGATATCTGTAGGTACCTCATAATACCTAACACAGTATGCAGCACCTCTGTATGTTAGATCCTAGATTATAATTTCCTAACAAATACAACACCTGCACATTGTTGGTTACATTAAACCATGTTGATTTGATTATATGGATGACATCCGCGCGCGCATGAATTTTTGGCCGTTTAAAAAAGTTTTCAACTATACTGCAAATCCTACAAATTAAAACAGTTGTAAAATGAGCAAATATGTACCGTACGTTGAAAAAAAACGTTGGAAAACGGTACCAACGTCATAGAATGCCTAAATCAAAAGAAAAAGACGAAAATGTAAAGAAATTAATTTGAAGTGAACACTATTCGCCAAACCATACTCTGTGTCATTTGTTCAACCTTCCAAACCACATAGATTTCTTAATGAAAGCATCTTTTTTGGCCAAACTTTTTTATTCGCACGCTCGCATCAATTTTGGGGTTCGCAGAGGATATCATCCATATAATCAAATCAACCTGGCCTAAGTTGTAGTAAGCAGATTGAGTCTCACTCTCCAGGAAATATTTACATCTCACTAAAGCGCAGTTATTTCAACATTATGGCGTCTTGTCAACCAGCAAACAACGCTCCTTATAACCTACGTAAGAAACATCTAATGAAAATGTCACAGAAAGTTAAATATACTAGCATATATATTAACAAGAAGTCATCCGTAGCCTTAGATAAAAGCAGTATTCCGCTTAATGTTTACAAAGTTAATGTAAGCACGTACTATATAGGCCTGCCAGCAATTAACATAACATCATAATAATTTATCTTTTAAAATGTCTTTTTATTCCACAATGTTTGACAACCAGCCTCACTACACTTACATGTATATTTCCAACCTGTTGCATTTTTGATTTCCTTCACTACTTCTGACGGTTGTCTATTGCAAATATAACGGCTATCATGTCGAACTCAAATCCTTGATAAGCCTTTCAAATTGTTATCCACAAAGCTGTGATGTTTGATCTCTAACATGTTGGACATGTCGGCCACAGAGCTGTGATGTTTGATCTCTAACAGTTTGGACATGTTGGCCACAGAGCTGTGATGTTTGATCTCTAACAGTTTGGACATGTCGGCCACAGAGCTGTGATGTTTGATCTCTAACAGTTTGGACATGTCGGCCACAGAGCTGTGATGTTTGATCTCTAACAGTTTGGACATGTCGGCCACAGAGCTGTGATGTTTGATCTCTAACAGTTTGGACATGTCGGCCACAGAGCTGTGATGTTTGATCTCTAACAGTTTGGACATGTCGGCCACAGAGCTGTGATGTTTGATCTCTAACAGTTTGGACATGTCGGCCACAGAGCTGTGATGTTTGATCTCTAACAGTTTGGACATGTCGGCCACAGAGCTGTGATGTTTGATCTCTAACAGTTTGGACATGTCGGCCACAGAGCTGTGATGTTTGATCTCTAACAGTTTGGACATGTCGGCCACAGAGCTGTGATGTTTGATCTCTAACAGTTTGGACATGTCGGCCACAGAGCTGTGATGTTTGATCTCTAACAGTTTGGACATGTCGGCCACAGAGCTGTGATGTTTGATCTCTAACAGTTTGGACATGTCGGCCACAGAGCTGTGATGTTTGATCTCTAACAGTTTGGACATGTCGGCCACAGAGCTGTGATGTTTGATCTCTAACAGTTTGGACATGTCGGCCACAGAGCTGTGATGTTTGATCTCTAACAGTTTGGACATGTCGGCCACAGAGCTGTGATGTTTGATCTCTAACAGTTTGGACATGTCGGCCACAGAGCTGTGATGTTTGATCTCTAACAGTTTGGACATGTCGGCCACAGAGCTGTGATGTTTGATCTCTAACAGTTTGGACATGTCGGCCACAGAGCTGTGATGTTTGATCTCTAACAGTTTGGACATGTCGGCCACAGAGCTGTGATGTTTGATCTCTAACAGTTTGGACATGTCGGCCACAGAGCTGTGATGTTTGATCTCTAACAGTTTGGACATGTCGGCCACAGAGCTGTGATGTTTGATCTCTAACAGTTTGGACATGTCGGCCACAGAGCTGTGATGTTTGGTCTCTAACAGTTTGGACATGTTGGCCACAGAGCTGTGATGTTTGATCTCTATCAGGTTAGACATGTGGCCACAGAGCTGTGATGTTTGATCTCTAACAGTTTGGACATGTCGGCCACAGAGCTGTGATGTTTGGTCTCTAACAGTTTGGACATGTTGGCCACAGAGCTGTGATGTTTGATCTCTATCAGGTTAGACATGTGGCCACAGAGCTGTGATGTTTGATCTCTAACAGTTTGGACATGTCGGCCACAGAGCTGTGATGTTTGATCTCTAACAGGTTGGACAAGTCGGCCGTCATATTTGACACATTGTGGGGGCAGTAATGGTACCAGGAAGCTCCCTTAACCGGCATTTTTTTTGCTGACGTTTTCTACATATTTGTGTAAATTTTCCGTTTAGTGTTAAATGCTAGGAGACGTTTTTGATTTTTTTGTTTTGTTTCCGATCTTAGAACACGTTTATTACGTGCTTGTTTCGATTTTCTGTCTCTTGGTGTCGAAAATTAGAAAGTTCTTGCAACGTGTCAAAATTTTGTCTTTTTGTGTCAAATATTAGAATACGTTTTCTACGTGTTTGTGTTACAATGTAACAACATAATAAGCATATTTAGTCACGGGTCAGGCATGATTTGGTCTTTTGAAACATCAAAATTTTGTCCAATATACTACTGTGACGTTGATTTGCCTTGATATATGCTGTGGAATTTACGTCAATTTTGTCCTTCTTCTTAATCCAAACAAAATCAGTTCCATAGATAGAGATACATATTTTCATATCAAAATAGCCCTTCTGATTGTCAGCTTTCCTAAGTTTCACCATGGTTTTACTTTTATTTGATTATATTTATATGATATTAAAGAGATCTAAAGAATGAGGGATAGGTTTTGGTGATTGCGAAGGAAGAATTATTTAAAATGAACAGAAATACAAGTGAGTATAGAAGGGAGACAGAGGGAGAGACGAAGAAGGAAAGAGAAACGAAAAAGAAGAGAGACGTGGTCTATCACCTAAGAAAATCACTCATGCTGAGATTTCAAGCCTCGCACAAAAAACACTACTCGGGTTTGGGAGTCACGTTGGCTGCCTTGCCCTTCCCCCAGAGCTCGAACGAGTAGTTGTCAAAACCTGAAATAAAAAAGCGTGTCCAATTAGAGCAAAGAACCAAACTGTGTGATAAGCACAGAAATGCTCATTATAACTGTTGGAGTATGGAGTAGTTAGTATTTGATCAGTGGATCTGCTGGCTTTCAAATCCGTTACTGAATTACGTCACACAGACAATCGAGGTCAACTCTAGACATTAAAAACTACCCATGTCAATGCGCCTTGCTTTTCAGCAGACTTGCTGAATGAATAGGGATTGTTTTAGAGATTGTATCTACCGGCAGATTCTGTACAGTGCCTGGATATCTTACTTACATCACCCTCAGCCATGTTTGAGATAGTATCTACCAAAATTCTGTACAGTGCCTGGATATCTTACTTACATGATCCTCAGACATGTTTGAGACAGTTTCTACCTACAGATTCTGTACAGTGCCTGGATATCTTACCGACACGATCCTCGGCCTGCCCCTTGACGTCACGGCCACGTCTCTTCCTCACCAGGAAGACAGCAACAACCATCAGGAGGACGCCGGCTATCCCCGCAGCTGCCCCGACAGCGATGCCGACAGTGGGCAGGGTGGAGGCTGTGGAACAACACAAAGACGTAATGTTCATACTGTTTACTGTCCTGACTGTTCACTAGTAGACAACATCTGCACAACTGTGACTATTGCCCTGACTATACATTAGTGGACAGCATCTGCACAACTGTCTACTGCCCTTACTGTACTCTAGTGGACAACATCTGCACAACTACCTACTCCTTTGACCGTACACTAGTGAACAGCATCGATCTACACATGCAGAACAGTAGGTCTGCCAGAACAATTATGAACACAAGCTTGCAAATGATAACATGCAACAGCTCTCCGTAGAGAATCATACAGACAATTGTAACAGTGATAAACACAAGAAAATACCATTGCTTCAAGAAAAATTTCACCATGATAAAAAAAATGCCCTAAGTTTTGTCGTTAAAAGGAATCATGAGAAAGAAACGTGGTTCTGAACAAGTTGCATACAACACCGGATTAATATTGATTTATGTCCATGAGAGTTAACTGTCTGGTCTCTTCATAAAAGGAACCACGGCGGTCTGTCACTACGGCATTCTTTCCCATTGCTGGGGGCGTTCGATAAAGTATCGGGTTACAAGACGCAATTTTGGGCTAACCGTAAAACATTTGAAAATAAACAAACTTGTATCGAAGGGAAAATTTTGTTGAAATAAAATAGAATTATTGTCTTTACATGCATTCAATGGTGATTTTTTGTGCTAAATGGATGATTTTTTCGGATTTCGTTTAAAAAGTCGATAATTTTCGGGATTTCGCAGCGCCATATTTTAGCCAATCACCGAGCAAACCTGGCTACACAAATTACGCAAGATCACTGATTTTTAAGTTTTTTGACGACAAGGAATAAGACGAAAAATCGTGCTTTTGGGATTTTTTAATTTCTTACTTTAAGTATAGTTTTTGTCGACAAATAGGTGAAAAAATCGAATTTTTTTGCTTTTTTCGCACTCAATTACCCATAATTCAAAATCAAGCGCATTTTTCAAAAATCCCAAAAGCACGATTTTCGGGACAATCGTGACAGTCATTTTGAGCCGTAAATGGGGTATGTTTGACTTTCCATGTTTTCAGGTTTGAACGAGTTTTGCAGACATGTCATATCGCCCGAAAGTGTGCATTGTGTTATTCATACAAGCGTAAAGAATCATTACAGTATTCAAGGTCACTCAAGGATACGACAGTAGCTTCGCTACATGTTACATGTCCACCAAAAATGATAGCGGACATGTACTGTCCAGGAAACTGTTTGTATCTATAGAAAAGTGTTGTTTTTTATCTGTTGCAATGAACGGAGGTAGAAAGGCTTGTTTTGCCGCTTTATAGTGAAATGGCCGCAGGTGACCCCGAAATAGAACGCGGGTTCGATTCGAATTCCCCAGATCGAACACGATCGAACACAGTTCGGGTTCTATGACATGTGGGAACTTTGCAGCCCAGATTTTACCACCGTGAACGGTGACCAAGAACACACCAAGATGCATAGGATGAAGAGGATGATTAAGTATAATACCTTGTTTTTCTCCTCCCACAACTTTGAAGGGTCCCTGGCTGATGGTGACTGTTTCGTCCGTTTCGCTCGCGCGTCGCACTCGGGCGTCGCTCATGTCAGACACAGCGCGCCTGCGCCGCCTAGCGGAGATGCACCCGTCACTGCACCGCGAGTCCGGGTCGTCCTTGAAGCAGACCACCATGGTGCAGTGGATGTACACCTGACATGGAGGAGAAACAACATCATGAATCTGGTGCACCGCCAGGCTGTTCAAGGTACCCAAACACCAGGGAGTAGCCAAGGATATTCCCGTACAAATGACCTCCAGTCCCAGAGAGCATGAAAGTAGCAACAATGTAGAGACAAATACAGGCTGAAGCATGCTCAAAGATGAAGAGGCCAAACGCTGGACCTTTGCTCATTCGTAACCCTTTCAGATGCAATTCGCAGGCTAGTCTGCTGGCTTGCCGCGTCAGAAGGTAGCTATATATAGGAAGAAATCTTCGACACACTAATAGAGGCTAGGGGTCATCAGAACCAATAGAGAGGTCTACGACCACCGCGTGTGCCAGCACCTAACTCCCGCGGATGATTGATTGATTGATTGATTGATTGATTGATTGCATTAAAGCAGATTTAAGACATCCAGAGACTGCAACATGTATGCATGCACAGTGTACTGTTTAGGACAAACTTTAGACCTACGATATCATCACCTTACACCATGGAAATCAACTTTAAGCTGACAGTTAGTTAACACAGCCCAGAACCAGCCCAAAGGTTACATGTCTCTCTATTTTACCAGGCTGGGAGGTTCAACGTTGGGGAAGTTGAATGACTGGATGGAGTAGTACAAGGCCATGTCGTTAGACAGTGCATTGTTCAGCTGAAGCGTTGTGTCCATGTTGCACCTATAGGAGAGAAATGACTATGAATGCTACATGTGTTATATACTAAAAACAACATGAGGTAAACCATTGGCTGTTCCATACTTTAACACCTCGTTACTTTGATGCAATGAAGTTCTGTGAAGAGTGACGTACCCTTCTTGAATGATGTTGACGCTTGGAGAGGCTTCGGGATCGTCACTTGGCGTGGCGAGGCAGTGGAGGGCGAACAGCTCCAGGTTGTCCAGAGGTGAGTTCACGCTGAGTCCGAAGTGTAGCTGGTCAGACGGGGTCACCTAACCATGGAAAAATAAGGGACAGGAATAACAGACTCGTTGCTTTGGGAGAGGGACAAGTACAGTGAAACATCTGGTTATTGTGTTACATGTAGATACATTCATGACAAAGAAGATTTATCATGAATAAACAAATAAACAAACATCCCTGTTCAGCTGATTTCTGAACAACATGAGGAACCCAGCCTGGACACAGCGGCAGTTCAGATCACAGTTTGCACATGTTTAAGTTTGATGACGTATAGTTTGATGACAGAATTAGATTAGGCAAGAACGAAGGAAGTATCTCACCTGCACAGGGTAGTCGTCTGAGGTGTAGGTATCAGCGAAGTCTGCAGATGGAAACATGTGCATCTCGAAGGTGAACTGGTTTTCCGCGTTCACAACTTGCACGCTGTACAGATAGAGGACAATGTGGGTGATTAGACGGATAGCTGATGGGAAATTATTCATTCTATGCCAATGACACATTCCGATTGAACATAAACATGAGCCCAGAAGCTAGATTCCAATCCATGATTCTGTACTCTAATATTCTGAACTTCTGTATAGAAAATCTGGCGCTATACCTTCTATTATCTGTCAAAAGCGATGCTGAGCTTCCTTTGCTCATACTGCAGTATATATGGATGGTCGTAACAGACCCATCCTGGTCCAGGCGCAGTTGTGCATGTAGTGACATATCTGACGACACTTACCGAGGAGGCGGAATGTTGAAAAGGATGTTCTGATCCTGTGAGACCACGTACTGACGGACGAACTCACACTGGAACTTCTTGCTGAAGGGCGCTCCTCTCATAGCGCCGTTTTCATGCACGACCGGACTGCCGAAGACCTCGTTACTGAAGATGAGTTTCTCTTCTGACGACTATGAAAACAAGGAGAGAAACAAACAAACAGAATCTTACTTAACAAACAGAAAGTCTCTCTTATAAAGGGCAGTCTACCAAGTGTGTAAGTATTTAGTCACATGGACCATTTCGGCACTTTTATATCAACTCATCTATGTGATACTTTTTCCTATGACCGTTCTCCACAGTTCTCTCTATTCTTTTGTATTCTAACATGTAATCACAAGACGTGGTGGGGAAACACAAGTTTTTTCAACAATGCTGACACCAACGCAAGGGACAATACTCATTTTCACCTGATAGAGTGAAGTGAGGAAAGTCGTGTAAAGTGCCTTTCCGAAAGGGCACAAGATCGGTGGCATGTCAGGACTAGAACCCGGGACCTCTTGGTTCCGAGTCAAGCACTCTGCCGTTACGCCACACGACCCCACAACCGTTCTCTATATTCCAGACAACTACTTACCTCCTGTGTCGTCCCGCACTCCTGCAGACCGGTCCGAAGAGTCACCACCGGGGGATCCGTCTCGCTAATTGTCGAACGGCAGTTCTCGTCCACCAGGTGCAAGCTTTCCACATCTACCTCTGTTAGCGCTGCAATAGGGAAGGTCACGCTCATGTGGTCCTGATGGCAGTCCACGTTCACGATAACTTCAGCTGAAAAATGGTTTATGCATCTGGGTGAGTATATAATGTCCATACACCACCTCGTATAGAGGAAGTTCCACACTGAAAGCTTCTTTCCTAGAACAACATCACTATGGAACAAGCTACCACGTGATTATTTCTCATACGGTATAACCTTAAACTTTTCAAGTCTACTGTTAACAAACACCTGTCCTCACTGGCTGTACAGTAACCCAAAACATTTAAGTGGCTCCCATGAGCCTTGTTTTGTGGTGAATCATGAAGTAAATAAAAAGAAAATAACTGTCACAGTGCAGTCAATCCAGTCCTTGTTAGACGGCCTGCCAAGAGAATTAATATATTCACAATGACCAGTTCTAAGAATCCATGTCAGAAGCACAATAAGAAGTGTTTTCTGCTGCATGTCATTTCAGTAGGATGGAGGAAGCTGTAGACCTACTAACTACTAATTGTAAGCCTCTCTCCACCCATGCTGTAACTTACTACATGTTCATGTAAACGTCTCTCCACCCGTACGATCGCACCGACCTACCTGTTGTCTCTGTCCCACTGATCTCTCCTATTTGCTCGTCGTCCTGTCCAAACGCAGTCAGGGTGAAGTTGTACTCTGTATTCGCCCACAGTCCGCGTACGATGGCCGTGGTGTCGCCCGGTGCTGGCGGGGGAGACAGGTCCTGGTACGAAGCCCCGGCATGGCGGTAACGGAGTCGGTATCGTGTTACATCCAGGTCAGCAGACGCCGTCCAGGACACGGTCATTCGGTCCATCTCGATATCGGAGAAGGTCAAGTCAGACAAACCTGGAAAGGTAGTGAAAGGTAGATACCTTTTTGGTCACTCAATGTACGCACGCTTGGAACACATTTCAGACTACTTCTGTGTGAAACAAGCACTGCAAATACTACAGCTTCAAATTTGAAGATTGAAAGAAAAACATTTAAGTTACCAGTTTCACAGGTGGTTCCTCCCCATCCATCCGCACACTCACAGGTGTAGGACTCTCCACTTCTGGTACACACTCCACCATTCTGGCAAGGGTTGGGGTCGCAGTGGTCTGTGGCAACACAGGTCAGAAACAGTGTGGCGAAAACATTATAATCTTACATTTGTTGTCATTCCCTGCTGCAAAGAAGGACAAATGAAAGGAAAATGTAACATACCGATTTCACAGTTGGTTCCTCCCCATCCATCCACACATTCACAGGTGTAGGACTCTCCAGCACTGGTGCACACTCCACCATTCTGGCAAGGGTTCGGGTCACAGAAGTCTGGCAACACAGGTCAGAAACAGTGTGGGGAAAAAGTTTTAATCTGACACACACAAATTTGCGGTCATTCCGTGCTGAAAAGAAGGAGACACGAAAAGAAATGAAAGGAAACTCACCAGTTTCACAGTTACTTCCTCCCCATCCATCCACACACTCACAGGTGTAGGAATCTCCAGTATTGTTACACACACCACCATTCTGGCACGGGTTCGGGTCACAGAAGTCTAGCAACACAGGTGAGAAACAGTGTTGGGAAACATGGTAAACATTCCTTAAGAATGTTGCATATCTAGCAGCACTTTTCTTTGAAATGGTCTTCGAGATATCATGGAAAGTGAAGTCAGACAAAGTTGTAAATGTAGTTACAACGATAGCAACATATTTTCTCTGTGTGAAAAAAAAAGCGCTGAGAATACAATAGTATCAGTCACAGAAGCCTACAACATTTGCCGGGAAACAGTTATCTCCAAGCAGATCATACGGTGGTAAGGTAGTATACATTGGCCATCGGTGGCTAATGGACACTCATTTGGCCAATACCGCTGGCTAATGGACATTCCTCTGGTCAATATGGATACTGCGTTGCCACCGAATGATCTTCTCGGAGATTTTTCTTTTATTCCGACATGTAATTACCAGACGTGGTGACGACACACTCAAGTTTTTTTCAACTTATATTAATGCCGCCAACAACACAGGGGACAAATACATGACATGACAGGACAATACTAATATGCACCTAAGCTAAGTGAGGAAAGTCGTGTAAAGTGCCTTAATATGATTCTCCTGTCCTTTACCTGATGAGGGTTCGTAGAAGAACAGTTCCCTGACATTTGGCTGCCAGCCCCCGTGGGTCCGTGTGATCAGGAATCTCCAGTACCGCGCTGTCACATGGAAACCGCCAAACTCCTGGCGCCGGGTCGTCCTTCCCTGCACGTCAGTAACGGTCACCACGTCTTCCCAGTCGTACGGACTCGCAGAGAGCGACTTCTGCAACGTGAAGTCTGCAATGTCCCAGCTGCCGCCTCCGTTGTTAATGAGTGCGATGCCGATCAGAGTTTGGGGCGCGGTGAAGTCCAGTACGATGTTCCAGTTGTTGTAGCCATACGCCAAACCTTGTGGGTTCCAGAAGGTACCAATGTCCCCATCCAAGACTTTGGCAGCGTCCCACGTTATTCCACCGCTGACCCACGGTGTGCCGGAGGACTCCACGATCCATGACGGATCTCGCACCAGCTCTTGGGTAACTATGTCAACGATACAAGGAAGCCATTCGCACGTAAACAATATACACGTGTGGGACACATACCTGTTTCATCTGTTTTCTATAAGGCAAATAGAATCGCCCATGTTTATATGTGATTGACCGGTGCAATAGCTCAATTGGTAGAGTGCTCGCTTTGTAACCGGGAGGTCGTGAGTTCAAACCCCGGCCGGGTCATACCAAAGACTTTAAAAATGGTACACACTTCTTTCTCTGCTTAGCACTCAGCACAAATGAGAAAGAGTGTGGGAAGGTCAAACACACAGCACTACCAGCGGACTAGCCCCCTGCTTTAGTGCCTTGCACAATTGTGTGTCGCCCAAGGGCTACGGAAATGGACATGGGCACCAAAACCCTATGCTCTGTATAGAGCACGGGTAGACCTTTTTATTTGTGATAAAAAAGCAATGTAAAGAGGTATCCTATATACCGAAACAGTTGACTCCGTCCCCGCCATAACCGTCGTTACAGGTACAGTTGAAACCGCCGATGAAGTTGGCACAGGTAGCGAGAGGGTGACAGTTGTGCGTGCCATCCGCACATTCATCGACATCTGTGGACACAAGCAACAAAAATTACCAGCGCCAACTAACTCTGTTAGATTTTGGCCCGGTTCAGAAAGCTGTGGAAGCGAAGCAAAATTCGGGTAAATATTGCAAACCTCGCATCTGGTCCACGTGCCCCACGTTCCTTCGGATTCGGCTAAACTACAATCAGTGGTGGATGATTAAAAACGCAAGGTCGCCTCATATCAATGTCAGAGGTCAGCCACCTGCTTGCTGGTGCCCCCCGCCCAGCGTACCTGGGCCTAATGCCGACGTGGTCCTGCCCGACGCGGTAAAGCTCGTCATAGAATGGGCACAATATTTGGTCATTACTGCTCTTTAAGTTGCTGCCTCGTCCGTTTTAGTATTGCATATAAATAAAGAAATATCACCCCATAGTGACTCCGGCGGAGTCACATTGCGTTCAAACTGAAGTCAGAATGCGTTGAAACCGGTTTAAAACTACAACCCGAGGTGGTTTGGAATCGAAGTGCTTTCAATGCGATTTGGAGCGTTCAGATGGGGCCACTTAAATTCGGCTTCTGTAGAATCTGGATCCAATGCGCTTCCAGCGCTTTCGTCTGAACAAGGCTTTTGTTTCGTAATATGGAATTCAATAGGTTCACATATGGTCTGCTCTATTGCTCAAATATATACATATATGGTGACAGGAGTCCAAATCCTTCCGGATATAAAATTGCAACATGATGTAACCCAACACTAGTTACCATGGTGACAGACGTCTGGATCAGGTCATTGACCTTATTTGTTTGGAGAAGAAGAAGAGAAAGAAGAAACAGAGCAAAAACAATATGTTTTCCTTCTGCGAAGGTAAAATGATAATGTATTTTATTTTTTTAATCTGACAGTTTAATGTTTTACTAATATACAGATGTTCTTAGAGATGCTCTTACCTGTACAGGTGAATCCGTCCCCGTAGTAACCGTCGTTACAGGCACAGGTAAATGCGTCGGGGGTGATGGTACAGGTTGCGTCTGCGCTGCAGTTATGCGTGCCATCCAGACATTCACTTTCATCTGTGGACATTAACAAAAAATATCTACGCTGCAATTTGACTAAGACAATATGTTGTGTGATCCTTTACTCTAGTCCGGGGAAACAAGAAATGGAAGACCTTATGGCTTCCAGCTCAAGATGAAGGAAAAATATCCTACTCGAACACACAGAGCGTACTAAAAGACATAACCTTCTAGGTGAAGGCAAACATTCGTTATCATTATGTTACTAGTAATATTTTAAGGAAATATATCTCACACCCATTTTCACAGTATCTCATGATCATCCCATCACATTAATAACTTGAAATGAAATATATTCTCTCAAATATCACTAGCTGAACAGAGTTGCGTGAGCGCTGCAGTTACGCGTCCCCCTCAGTATCCCTGTGTCACCTGTGTCAATGCAACAAATACTAACCTCGGTCACAGTTGCGTCCTGTCCAGCCGCTCTCACAGGTGCAGATGTAGCCTTCGTCACCATCGGTACAGTTACCGTATACACACGGGGAGCCATCACACGTAGTAGAAACTGGAAATAAGGATATAATTACGTCAGAGATTTGTACATGAAGGTGGGCATTTTAGCCCTCGGGGAAAACATGTATGTACCGGCTTCGTGCTAAAGACGAAGGGATAATATCGCAGGGACTGCAAATGTGGGAAGTGGTGTGCTGCACGTGGGTCGTTCATTTCTTTGCTCTTCCCTTGGACTTCTCAACCTTCGTAAACATTGGAATGCTAACGGTGAAGGAAAAATATATGCATATGCGTAGATTCTACATGCTTATGTAATGGAAGTAAATTCTGTGATCGGATCTATCAAACATGAAACTTGTTTTCTTCTTTTTTTGCCAAAATGCCTCTGTGTTGGGTACCGATACCAAGGATGCGGCCTCACCTGCACACAGGGCGTACATGTTTTCGTAGGACACTCCATTCAGGTGGGACCTGCCAGTGTCGTAGTCCGTTCCGAAGGCGCCGATATTATTAAAATAGTTATGCATGTACACAAAGGTGTCATCGAGCGCCTCGCAGTTATTGCCGTACTCGTGAATGATTCTACACATTTTATCTTGGAGGATCCTGAGGGTCTCACACACGCCGAAAGGGTCCCTGGAAAACGTGATGCAGCCTGTGGTCCAGTGATAGGTACAGCCAGAAGTAGGACCTGTGTAGTAGCACGGGTAGCTCATCCTTGCCATTTGACAGGTGGTCTGGACGTTTGCGTTTGTCATAGGTCCGATTGCACGAACCTTATAAAAGGCCCAATTGTCGTGTGTGTCCAGGTACACCTCTGGGGCTGGAAAGAGTGAAAAATATTGTTATCAAAGTTCAAATTTTTGATCGTCGATCGTCGCAAAGATATGGTGGAATTTCCAACCGAAGTCAGGTACTAACTTTCACCTTGAAGATGAAAGACTTTCTTCTAAATCAGTTCAATATAAATTTTATGGATCACCATTCATAAATACTGAAATATATACTGAGATACTGACCTATATCACAGTTGGTTCCTTCCCAGCGGTTCTGACAGGTACAGATGTAGCCTTCGTCACCATCAGTACAGGTTCCGTGTTCACCGCACGGGGACGCTTCACACGTTACTGGAAATAAAATCGACAATTTCATGCCTTCAACCGTGGGAGGAAAGATAATACCCTATCCGAACACTCGAATGCCCCCCAAAACATTTGAGGGCATTTGAGACAATTTTATGAGGACGTTTCATGTCTAACATCCGGATGACATCCCTGTCTAACTTTCTAAGATACACAACTTAAAATGAAATCTTCTCTCTTGAATATCTCCAGCTGAAGAAATAAAGCTTATTTGTGTCACTCACTCACTCAGCTCCACATGGGGCCCTCAAGGGGGCGTAGCGCCTCTGACTATGGTCCTCCAGGTCTGCCTGTCTATGACTGCCGCCCAGGCGGTGGTGATGTCCAGTCCTCAGCAGCCTGGAGATCGGTGGACAGCATGTTTTTGTGTCAACATAACAAAAACTAACCTTGATCACAGTAGGGTCCTCCCCAGCCGCTGTCACAGGTACAAGTGTAGTTCACCATGCCCCCGACAACATCAGTACAGTTTCCGTGCTCACAAGGGGAGTCCTCACACGAAGTAGCGACTGGAAGTGGGAAATAGCGTCAGGGTTTTGTACATCAAAGTGGGCATTTTTCTCAACTCTCGGGAATACAACCTTATGATATATCAAAAATATCAAATATATAAAAAATATATATAGAGAGAGAGGGGTTTAATACTTATGACAATGGAAAACAGTCTAATCTAATCTAACATGAAAGATTTTTCCTTTTGATTGCCTAGCTGCTTTTGTCGTAACCTGCGCACAGGGCGTACATGTTCTTGTAGTCCGCTACTGGCAGGGCGCGGGTGTTAGCGTCGCAGCCTATTCCGAAAGCGCTGTCACGACTGTACCAACTAGGTTTGTACATGTACACAAATGTGTTAATGTAACAAATACTAACTTCGGTCACAGTTGGTTCCTGTCCAGCCGTTCTCACAGTCACAGGTGTAGCCTTCGTTACCAGCGATACAGGTTCCGCGCACACATGGTGAGTCATCACACGTAGTACGAACTGGAAATAAGGAGATAACGTTATTTTAGAGTTTTGTAGGTCAAGATGGGTAGTTTTTTCAAACTCACCTGCATAGGCTTCGAGCTCGAGTCACGATTCTCGATGCTTATGTCAATGGAAAAAATTGCCTAATTAACATGAAAGTCTTTTATTTGCTAAAATGCCTCTGTCTTGTGGTACGATATCGAGCCTGCAGCCTCACCTGCACACAGGGCGTACGCGTTGGTGTGGTCCGCTCCATACAGGTTCCAAGTGTTGGTGTCGTAGTCCACTCCCCAGGCGCTGTCATCACCACGACCACCCCAACAGGGATAGCAGTACACAAAGGTGTCATCAAGGGGCTGACAGTGCCGAGAGTCGTCATGTCCACACAGTTTTTTGGAGAGGACCCAGTGGGTGTTACATAAGGAATTACCATGGTTGTACGTGATGCAGCCTGGGGACCAGTGGTCGTTCGCACACCCACCATAACCTGACTGGTAGCACGGGTAACTCATTCCTGCCGCGTTACATGTCGCCTTCGTGCCAGTATTGGTCAAGTTGGCTGTTGCAAGAACCTTATAAAAGGCCCAGTTGGATTGAGTGGCCAGGTACACCTGTTGTTCTGAAAAGGGTGAAAAATCTTGTCATCAGCAGTTCATGATTTTTGTCATCAGTCCCGTCGAACGGGCCTTGTGGAATTCCCAACCATCCAATGGGGTAGGGTACTCACTTTGACCTTGAAGATGCCAGATTTTAAAAAAATCACAGTACCCTTCCTGGTTTGACCTTGGCACTTGATGTGGTACACTACTCCACACCTGTTTTCCTTTTGAGTTTTGTCTTTCGTGTGGGTCTGAAGCGTGCGGGTGGGTCTGAAGCAGGTCTTAAAACCGTACTTGTTGAAGGGCCTCAGAGGTACCCTTGGAATATGGTAAGACTACTAGTCCCCTATTGGGTTTTGAAGAAGAGGACTGAGACGGGGGGGGGGCGACACAAGTTATCTGGCACGTATGACCCGCTACTACGGTCACGTGTATCTGACGTCACGTTCCAAGAGTAGACGGGTCCATTCCGTGAGCAAGGTTGATGGAGTCAACCGAAAATTTTGGTAAGTCCCTGTAATCTAAGTGTTGGAAGTTAAAGCTTAGTCTTTATTTGATAATGACTTGTACCAACACAGATGAACTTTCATGCTAACCTAATAATCCTAGTTAGAAACCAGTATGGGAGAAAAGCCACACCTCGAGTACGTTAAAAATAACTCACCACACATTGAAAACAGTACGAGTCCGCTCCGGTGTAAGTGGATTTAAACTTACAGTGCAAAACTGATGTGCAGTGCCTAAAGGCAGTGTACGAGTTGTGTGAAGCAAACAAGATGCTAACATTACTTTTATTAGGAAAAATTTAAGGAATTAATAAAAATTGCATTGCGTTGTGAAATCAAAACCACAGCATACCTAAGACCGAAATACATGGAAAACTGCTATAATAATGATATAATTTCCTGTTTAGTCCTATTCTACATAATTTTCACCTTATTGTTCATCTCTGCCTAAACTACCTACATGCCCAAAATCCATATGGAATCGTCTACCCAGTTCAATTACAGGGTCGAGAACCTTAAAGAAAACCTACCTTGACCAGTCACGCTGGTGGCCATAACCACGAGGACGAGCAGTCCCACGGGTAGTGACACACGCGGGTCCATCCTGTCTCCAGATGTCCGGTAGGTCACCTGGAATAAAAGAACTGAAAATGAAACATTGGTCTGTTTTACCTGGATCCTTCCAGTTTACCCACGAGCATGTTGCAGGCGATGATGTCCATGCATGCGCACGTATGTACATTTGTGTGTGTGCGCGCGCGCGCGCGTGTGTGCGTGTGTGTACATACGGGCATGTGTGTGTGTGTGCGCGCGCGCGCGTGTGTGTGTGTGTGCTGGCATGCGTGTGTGTGTGTGCGTACGTGTGTATGTGTGTGTATGTGTGTGTGCGCGCGTTTGTGTATGTGTGCATGTGTGCGCGTGTGTATGTGCGTGTGTGTGTGTGCATGTGCGTGCGTGCGTGTCTATGTGTGCGTGCGTTTGCATGCATGTGTTTGCTTGAGCGCATATTCGTTTGTGTGTGTCTTTGTGTGATTGTGTGTGTATTTGTGTGTGTGTATTTGTGTGTGTGTGCGCGCGTTTGTGTGTGTATGTGTGTGTGCGCGCGCGTTTGTGTGTGTGTGTGTGTGGTAGTTCACGTAAATGCCGCCAGGGGCGCTCTGGTCTTATTTACGAACATAAAAAATTGACGCGACCTCACCCGTCGAAGGGGACAGTCTACCAATTCCAAGCCCAATTAGGCATAGACTTGCATTGTAAACATACCAGAAATAAGCCGACAAAAACTACCTGAGTATTCAACTATGAAAAGTCACATTGACAGGGTAGTCCAACATCCTATTTGTTCATTTAGTCCAGCGATACATAGTACGAAAAATCAAAACAATGAGAGAATGACCTCTGACCCGTATGGAGAGCACCAAAACACAACAATAACGGATTTGTTTTAGAGCTCTAACAAGCAGCCAAAACAAGACTCAAAGCCAGTTTTTTCAACAAAACAAAAAGAGAAATTACTCTCCAGCTGGAAAATACCAGCATGTATCAACACATACAAAAAAGATGTTTTCAGTGGGTTTGGATGCGATTATGAAATAGACTCAACATACCAGAAATAAGCTGTCAAAAACTACCTACCTGAGTATTCAACTATGGAAAAGTCACATTGACAGGGTGGTCCAACATCCAAATTGTCCATTTAGTCCAAAAATTTCACGTTCTGACCAGCGATACATAGTACGAAAAATCAAAACAGTGAGATAATGACCTCTGACCCCTATGGAGAGCACCAAAACACAACAATATGGGATTTGTTTTAGAGCTCTAACAAGCAGCCAAAACAAGACTCAAAGCCAGTTTTTTCAACAAAACAAAAAGAGAAATTACTCTCCAGCTGGAAAATACCAGCATGTATCAACACATACAAAAAAGTTACTCAAGCAACTGGATATGATTTTGAAAACGTCAGACGTTTCAGCTAGTATCCACTAGCTTTCGTCAGTGACTGAGAGACCAGAGGGGAAAGCAGGTTTATAAGTACAACCTGTTGATTGATATGCAAATAAAGTGAAGACAAATTTTGGGAAGTACAAAAAAAGGAACAAAAGTCAGACAAGTCAAGACAAGATGATGACAAATTAGTCTAGAAAGCTCCTGTTATACAGAACAGGAGCTTAAGTGTTGTCTGTCCGTCGGGGCTGGGAGTGCCAAATCCCAAGTGACCGGAAAGATCGACCGTACGCCCCCTTCCTGTTGAGGTGGGGCAGTTATGTAGCAGTTTCTCTGTATCATAAAACAGTGATCCACATCTAGTCTGAGTGACTTGCTTCAGGATATCAAGTCAATGAAGAATACTATCTATTAGGTATTT